TGCAGTAGAAATGTTACATAGTACAACTTTAAATTCTCCTGGAAACCAAATTTGTCAAGTTGTCAAAACAGAACAAAATTGCGTAGGAACCCTGCCGTACAAAATTCTACACACGTGTGTTTTTCTCTGTGGTGATCATGTGTTTGTGTGTCTGCAGCTCACAGCCGGCTCAGACAGCGCCCCCCAGTGCCTCAATTTGGAGAAACACGCCGACGTTGAATCTCCTGAACTGTCCTCTCCACGTGACCGAGCCAAAAATGAACCTCCAACTGAAAGTACGGTGCAAAAGGAGGGACAAAGTACAGCTCAGAGTCCAGTCAGGAGCAGGGTGACCTCCCCTCGCTCTCCTCTGTCTCCTCCCAAATCTCCACACAGTCCCGTCAAAGATATTAACGCCAATGGGCTGGCTCCAGCGCCGAAAGACGCTCAAACTGACTGCAAAGATGTGAAAAAGAGTGATTTATCAACACCGGAAAAACCCAGAAGTCCGCTTTCATACTCTCCTGTCCCAGTGAGGAAAGACCCACATCACAGACAAAGCCGAATCCCCATTTTAGAACCTTCTAGTCTGTTTGAAGTAGCAGCTCCAGGTTCTGCGAAAGAAAAACTCCTCCAAAAGAAAGCAACGCATTTCAACAATAATGTCCCATCTCCCACCGCCTCTCCATCTCTGTCCGATCGCAGAGCTCAAATCGTGGCTTCTCTGGTTCCCCGGGACCCCCTCTCCTCCGGCTCAGATCGGTCCCAGGACGAGGACTCTTTGCTGGGCTCGCGTTCGGACCGTCAGGGAGATGAAGCTCCGTCTCTGTCCTCCTCCTCCAGCCCCCTGTCGCGGAAGAGTCGTATCCCGCGCCCGGTGAGCTCGGCCGGGTCGTCCACGGAGCAGATCCCCGGGCAGTTCACCCCCAGACCTCCACCGGGGAAACCGCCCACGCGCACCACAGCGGAGAGCAGGTGAGACGGACGCGGAACACTTCACATGTAGGCAATGCTTTCAAAAACATTTTTATTGTACAAATACATGCTACATTCTGGAATGGAAACAACTGAAGGGAAAAGTGAAGTTTTGATGAACCAGAGAATTATAAAATATAAAAAATATAAAAAATCCAGGTATGTGAGTGATGTAACAGCCTGAAAACATTTACGATAGTACTTTTGTACTACCATTTGTTTATTTAATAGTGAATTTTGATGTATAATCTTTTAATGAAGACAATTCTGACTTTTAGTTTTTATTGAACAAATGCAAATTTTGACAGCAAGTATTTTGTTATATATATATATATATATATATATATATATATATATATATTATATATATATATATATATATATATATATATATATATATAAAGCGTAACAGCGTAAGCGCAGCAGAGCACACGAGCAGAACACTCACAAGTGTCGCTTTTCATTTGAACCGGTCGGACAGTTTACACCAGCAGTGTCGTGCTCACGTCCAGCGGTGTCATGACTCTACACGCTGCTCAAAAGAGGTTGGACTTGTAATTGTGCAGTTTCAGAGCGTCTTCAGGCTTTTATCAGGGGAAAGACAGGAAATGGGCCTGCAGTGTCAAAATGTACTTCCTGCCCTTTCCAAATAGTTTCCTAAAACCACTACAGCGGAGTAAACACTGAGCATCACATCAGGAGCTCGGGGAATGACTCATGATGGACACGGAACGTTTACAGCCACGGAGGAGAAATATAAAACACTTTACAACAGCTGACAGAAACTTTACTAGAACAACTGAAGGAAAAGGCACGAGGAGCAACGAGCAAAATGAAACAGAGACGAGCTTCATTAAAGCAGCTCCACAGATACGACTCGTAACACTGCAAAACATCCACTCTGACACTTTAGTTTAGATTTAAAACAGACACAATCAACAATGAAAACATCAAATATGTGAAAAGTTTAAACGTGAGAATACACAGAGTTTAGAGTTTAAACGTGAGAATACACAGAGTTTAGAGTTTAAACGTAAGAATACACAGAGTTTAGAGTTTAAACGTGAGAATACACAGAGTTTAGAGTTTAAACGTGAGAATACACAGAGTTTAGAGTTTAAACGTGAGAATACACAGAGTTTAGAGTTTAAACGTAAGAATACACAGAGTTTAGAGTTTAAACGTGAGAATACACAGAGTTTAGAGTTTAAACGTGAGAATACACAGAGTTTAGAGTTTAAACGTGAGAAATACACAGAGTTTAGAGTTTAAACGTGAGAATACACAGAGTTTAGAGTTTAAACGTGAGAATACACAGAGTTTAGAGTTTAAACGTGAGAATACACAGAGTTTAGAGTTTAAACGTGAGAATACACAGAGTTTAGAGTTTAAACGTGAGAATACACAGAGTTTAGAGTTTAAAACGTGAGAATACACAGAGTTTAGAGTTTAAACGTGAGAATACACAGAGTTTAGAGTTTAACACGTGAGAATACACAGAGTTTAGAGTTTAAACGTGAGAATACACAGAGTTTAGAGTTTAAAC